GGAGCGGGTCCGGGAGCGGGGCGGGAGCGGCGCTCTGGTCGGCCCGCGCCGCACTGGGGGCCTCAGTCGCGAGGAGCAGTCGCGCGCCCGCTGCTTTTTATTTTTTATTTTATTTTTTTTACCCACTGACTTTTTTTTTTTCTTGCCCTGGAAGCAAAAGCGAGGGCAGGAGTTACTGCCGCGTGTGGGCTCCGTTGCCGGTGGGTGAAGGGGGCAGCAGGTCGCGTTTGGGGGCTTTTTTCTCCAGCCCATCCCCGGGCTGCAAGTTTGTGAGGGGGCTCCCCACCCCCACGCCACTTGCCCGTCGCGACTGGAGCCATGTCCTGACCGGAGTCACCCTTCTTCCCCAATGAGGTTCCCGGGCAATAGCTGCTAAAGAAGGGCTAGAACGGGCAGCACGAGCTGCCTATCTGATTATCTTTACTCATTAAATTCTAGTTGCATAATGAATCAAATCTAATATATTACAAGAGCAAACAGGTCAATTCTGTAATAACAGCAGGTATGTAGTCCTTGGGGCCGTTGATTGGCTTTTTTGCTGCTCACCAGTTTCAGTCCCAGCTTTCTTCTGGGAGTACCACCTCGTGGCTTCTGAGTTGTGGTCTTGCCCCATCTGTGAAAGGTGCGATTTTGGCAGAAGTTTAATTGGGTTATTGAGAGCAAAAAAGCATGCCGGTAGCAAATGATTGCTTTAACTTGATTTATTTCTTCTGCTGTCGTACCTTTCAATGGAAGGTGGCATTTATGGAGCAGTATCCCTCAATTCTGTCCCGATATCAGGGCTTTAAGCTATGGCTTCCTACCAAGCATGAGCAGGAATACTCTTGCATGGCGCCCTTCGCTGTACCCCTGTATCTCCCATGCTGCAGGGTTGCGTTCCCTTCACTGTTTTTCCTTCTTTGGTAGAAACAAGCGTTGCGCTGCGGCTGTGGATGGAGACGGCTGGCGAGCGCAGCAAGCCCCGCGCTGCACCCGGCACCGGGCCAAGCTGGCCGGGCTCTTCAGCAGCCTGCGGGAGGCTGTTCTGTCGCAAGCAGACGCCTCGGCCTCAAAGGTGCGGAGCAGGGGCTTGTTCTTTTATCTCCATTGCGTGTGGGTTTGAACTTAGCTAGTTTACTGTTTTACCCTGCATGTGGTTTCCCTGGATCCCCTTTCCTTGGCAGCTGTCAGCTCAGCGTGAGCAGAGTGCTCCCCTCAGCGTCCCAGCATCGCAGGATTATCATGTGGCTCCGCCGCGCTTCCCTTGCAGCGGTTTCACTGCTTCTCTGTAGCGGTATTTTGGAAACTAATCAAGGCATCTCATGATGAAAGCACCCTGATTTCAGAACTAGTGCGATTAGCGGCAGAAGTTTCAGGGAAGAAAAGGGAATAGTTTATTCAGTGTTAGGAGTTGCACTGTCTTGGAGATGGTCTGGAAAAAGCAAGTTGGGGGGAAAAACACAGCAACCACTGCTGTTTACCGCGTTTTACTGAACCGAGAAACTGTTTAACCAAAAGAGATACTGTTTGTAAAGGTGAAGTTGTGCTACTGAAAAGGTTAATGTACTTGAGGTGGAGGGTTAAGCATCGGAAGACCTTTGATTCTTGATTTTTGCTACCAGTTCACATAGTTAGCTTGGTTGTTTTCAATGTGTAAGATGGAGAGAGTAATGGCTCATTCAGACAAGGACTGTCCTTGTAAAGCACTTTGAGCCGCTGAGCGTGCGACCTGTGCCCAGATCGGAGCAAGCTGCAGTCACCATGATCCTGAAACAGAGACAAAACAGATGCTTGTTTGTCTAATCCAAGGGGCAGACAAAACGGATGCTTGTTTTGTCTAATCCGAAGGGCCTGTGTTAATCCTCCAATTCTTTCCACAGTGGGCCTCTGACTTTTCATGGTATTTTGGTAAGTTCCACGGATTTATTCGTAGTTAGAAACTGCTCTGTTTCGTAGTGTAATTTGCTCATGACTGACTTATGGGGCTGAGGAAGATCAATCCTTTTACAAGCCTGAAAAGCTAAGTTCACACCTCATCCTAGCGCCTACTGCTCCAAGAGAAGATCTCCCGGGGAAGCTGTGCAAGGTAGACCTATTTAAGATGACCTTGGATGGTCTCAGTGATCATGTCAGACCTGAAATATTTCAGCTACGTATGTTTAAAAGTATTGGCCAGATGTTCTCAGTTGTGTTAGCTATAAATGATGCAAGGATGCTGTGCCGCTTGCACAGTGAAGTGGCCCCTGTTTGCATCAGCGTGGCTGAGAGCAGACATGGCAAAGGCTTCCCCTAGCATAATTCTCATGGGGAAATGATAAGTAAAGCCTTATGTCTGGTGTCAGTAGACATCTGTCAAGACTTTGCAGTGTGGTCTTTCTGGACATGCTCCAAGAAGAGAACGAACCAAACAAGAACAGTTGCTTATGAACAAAGAACTCGGTTAAGTGGCAAATGGTTGTGTGACCGGGTACTATGTGTAGGCATTACATAATATGAAGACTAATATTTATAGTCTATATTTAAGTTTTCTCTCTTTATTTCTTTCCCTCTCCCCCCAAGTGGATAAAGGTAGATGGTGAAACAACACAGTTGTTTTCACAGAGACTTTGAGATAACCGAAGGTCAAAATGAAGCAGAGCGTAGAAAACAGCCAAGGCATGTTACACCACGTGTCCAGTCAGAGCGACGAGCAATCAGTTCTGATTTCTTTTTATGTTTAGTGTCAGGTTTTGCGTAAGGCTAAGAGTTGTATCCAGGAGCTGGAGCAAACCTTGGGTTCTTTGCTGAAGATGAAAGGTACCGTATGTGCGTATTTGCCTTGCACACTCTGCTGGGTCTTGCATTTTATTTATTCAGTATAGATAACTGGGCACACATGGAGCCCCTTAAAGCGTCAGAGGCAGCTGCAGCTTTAGCTGTGGCCATAGGGAGGGGACAGAGCAAAAGTTGGAGCCAGGGAGCCCGTCTGACGTAGAGGCACAGGAGAAGGACAGAAACCCCTCTGAGGATTGCTTCCCAAAAGCATGGGAATCAGGAGCCTCTGCTTAATAGTTTAGCCTGGGAGTGAGAACTAAGAGGCTGCGTTTTTGTTTTCTCCCAGCCACGTGGCGCACGCTTGTCACCCCGCTGCCACCAGCGAGCCCGCTGCGTGCGGGCATAGGCCAGGGCCTCCCGGGGCAGGAACAGGGCTGCACTGTGCTGCTCCCTGTGCTGGAGGCTGGGGACGTGTCTTTATGTGCCTGCGGTGTCCAAAATACTGACACCTTAAAAAAAAAAAAAAAAGTATTACTTAATGTAACTTGCACAACTTGCACATTTTTTGATTGGCGTCAATTGAAAATCCCAGTGCTTGAAATGAGCCAGTTCTTCTGAACCCCTATCCTCTGATAACCAGTAAAGTGCAGGGGTATGTAGAGAACAGAGCAAATAGTTTGGCAGAGAGGTAAGTGATCACAAGCAGTGGAACCTGGTTAAGGAGAGTTTTGAGGTATGTGTCCCCATGATGGTTTGCTGACTGGTGCTTCCCTGTGGTTTTCACCATGGGTTTCCCTGTTAGAGCAGCGTTAGAAAGGGAGCAGTAATACTAAGTCCCTCAGGGATCATAAGCTCCTGATCACGGTAGCTGCCTTGTAGCTTGAGGTGTCTCATCTCGCATCGTGTTTGCCTGATGGAAAGCTGTGGCTGTGACAGCAAAGCCCTAGTTGTCAGAATGACTTGGTTTGATTGGGATGGGGGGTGAGAGGGAAGCCAAGTGCTCCCCCCTGGCATGACCTGCTTCTTTCTGCTGCACCAGAGTCCTTCAGCCTGGAGGATGGGAGCCCATCCAGCTTGGAGGAAGTCAGGGAGGAATATGTCAAGAGGCACTTCAGCAATCACAGGTAAAGACTTGCACCAAGAAAGATGATGATAATTTGCACCTGCTTCCAGCATCTCTGCAGCACTCTATCCGTGTTGCTGAATTACCAAGCAGAGGCCTGTTCTGAGGGAAAGATGAAGACATTTCACCTAGACCGTTCAGTGCATGAATGTTCTGTGCATTTGTTGGTCTCATAAAGTCAGTATTTATATTGCCTTTCCCTCCTGCATTGTCCATTTCCACCAAGGTGTTCTCATTTGTTTGCAGAGAAAAGACAGTAAAAAGCCTAGTTGGGAAGAATGGGCTTGGGCTTCACAGTGACTATGCTCGGGACCTTATTAATCCAGTTGAGAGTTACTTTGTTTTTTGTTTTTTGGTTTTTTCCTCTGTTTCCAGCAGTGCCTCACCCTTAGAAACTGTGAGTGAGAGTAGCTCTACAGTCTGGTGTTTGAGTGAAGAATATGAAAAAAACACAACAGAGGATGATGTGAACGTGGGAGTTATCCAGTCCCCACCTACTTCATCTCCTGATCTGCTGGAATTTGAGCAGTAGGTGCACCCTTGGTTGCCTTCAGTTTGTCCATTTGTTACAACCCTGCACCCAGTGCCTGCTGTACGTGCAGCTTTGCTGGCGCCTGCCTTGCCATGCAGAAGCCCCCAGCCAGCGACCTCGGTCCTGCTGGTGGGGAGTTGGGCACCTCCTGAGTCTCTGGCCCATGGTTGGCACACGAACGGGCTCCCAACATTGTGGCAGGACCCAGCTTTATGGCCGTTGGAGAATCCCTGAGGATTTTCCATCCATCCTCAAGGAGGAGATGAAACCTGCGTTCAGGTGTCTCAGTCCTGGTGTGGCCGTGCTTTCCAATTGCTAAGGCACCTTGCAGAGCAAGACACAACGTAACTGCTGACAGTGGTATAAGGGGCAAGCTGAAATAACACACTCATCACACATGATTTCTCCCAGCTCGTGTCCCTGTAGGTTTGTGGTATCGATGCTGCTGTGAAGCTCTGTTCCCACAATGCAGCCGTATTTCAGGAGGGTAGAAATTGCTGTATCAGATCAGATGCACAAGCTGAGAACTGTGTGGGTTCTGGGGGAGATACAGGAACCCGAGGTAGGTACATGTGGGAAGAAGCCTTCCCTGCAATGATATTCATCCTGCCTGTACTTGGCATTGGCATGAGCTGCTTGAGCACTGATGTCCAGTGCAGAATTCAGTCTTTGATACTGGCTTTCTGTAGGATTTCAGCAGGGTAAGGCTGGAAGGATCTAGGGAGGATCAAGTGGCCTTCAGCCTACGGTCTGGATAAGAGCAGTGAGGAGGGCATCCCTCAAAATGTCTGCAGCACAGGGAGGGAGGCAGGGAACCTGCACACTTACATCTGCATTCCCACAGCAAGAAGGTGTGAGATCCTTGGGATCAGCTCTTAGATGCCTGATACAGGGGTAAGAATCAAAGAGCAGGGTTCTGTTGTCAACGATCTACATATTTTGCCATTATAATCACAGATTAAAATTAGTGTTAAGGTAGGAGAAACTTTGAGAAAAAACAGTAAGTACATTATTCGTTGTCTTCTTCCCCTTGCTGCTAGAGAACACTAGGGTGTACTTTGGGATCATGAATACCTGTCAAAAAAGGTCAAATGATCACGTCATTATAAAAGTTTAAGAAACAGTGACTCCTCTGATCTATTCCGTATTGTCAGAGTCAAGTTTACCCCAGTTATCCAGAAAACATTAGTGAAATTTGTGTTCAGAACATCCAGCCCAGCAGCCCCCACAGCTGGAGCTGCGTCCCCTTCCAGAGCTGATGCACCGCCTTAAAGAAAAGCTTCTGCAGTTCCTCCTTTTGATCAGAGATGGTGCTTTTGGTGAAATTCCCTTGGATTGTTGAGTTTTTCATCAAGACAAGGTTGCAGCTGTGCCAGCAGATGGCACCAGCCTACTTTGTTCCTGCCCTTGCTTCTGTGAGAGCCCAGAGATGTCTGTAGCAGGGTATCATTTACAAGACCTTGAAATGTGCTGAATCGAGATTTCCTAGGGGAAGTAAGCTCTGCTTCATCACAGACTGCACGGCAGAGCCATAAACTCCCGTGTGCTCTTTCACTGACAAGATAGTCCGGTGCCCTTGCCGTGTTATGTGGACTCTGGCATTTACTCTGCAGTTTTATAGCAGACTGCAGTTGCTTTATAGCTAATCCTTCTTGCAAAATGATCTTTGATAACAGGCACAAAACAGCAAGGACTATCCAGCAAAGAAAACAACCGCCTTTTAGTGATAGACTAATCATATTATTTTGGCAGCATCAGAAATGTGTTGGGTTTTGAAGAACTGTGTATTTCCATGTCCTGCACCAGGTACTGCAGGGACAACACAGTACTCTCTCCCCTGCAAAATGTGGTTGCCCCTAACCATCTGTGAAGGACCTCGATGGGTTCAAGGCTAATTTCCTTCGCAGAGCAGTCTAATGATAGTTGATATTCTTCTGTTTGAAAAACTCCAGATCCTTCATTTGGGGCTGGACTCAGAATCCTTGGTGAGCATAATGGCTGAAATGAGAGTGCCAATGCCCTTTAGAGTATTTTTATCTCCAGGAATGGTGGAAAAAGCTACAGAGTATGGAATTAGAAGGGTAAACATGTTTATGCTTGCATGTGGGATTATTTTAAGCCTTTCAGTATTGGTTTATTAAGTATTGAATAATAAATACTGAATAGTTTTGATTTACTTTCTCATGCCATACTTTTTAGTTATTCAAGAATTGTGCTCAGCTGGGACATCTTTCAAGTGAACATTTTGAGCCCAGTCATACACAATAACAGTAACTTTTGCCTATAGAACTTTGCTTTATGTTCCTTTAAACATGTTCTCTTTGTCTGAGAAGCTCCAAGCATTTAATAAACTTCAAGTACCCTTTAGTGCTGTTTTCTGTAGTCAACATTATTGTCCCTGGTTCAGTGTCACACCGAGCCACCAGAAGCAGCAGGCTGGTTCTGTGGTTTATACATATTGTGTTCAACTGCCATATTCACTACAGAATCTCACACAAGTCAATCTTAGGAGCGTGGTTCTTCTGATGTAAAAGGGAGGAAGTTGAGCTGCCAGGAAAAACTTACTCAAGTGGAGCTTTCAGGCCTGGAGTAGTCTTCCTCTCGGTATATACAGTACCTAATACGTCAGGGTTCTGTTCTTTGTACCAGTAAAGGTACAAAAAAAAGGGCTACAGAGGATACAAAGGCAAGTACTCCAAATTTTTGAAATGCCAGAACGAGGTTTGTCTTTGCAACAAGTTGAGCCTGCAGCTGCGTGGAGCTTCATTTGTGAGGCACTCGTGCTGAGGTTCTGGCTGGAGTCTGCCTTTCACACATGAAATCTTGGTGGAATAGAGCTGCTCAAACCTGCAGATGGCATTGGGCAGCCTTCATTAGTTGTGTGAAGTCTGGGAGCGGGGAGCCAGGGAAGCGGCTGGGAATCAGAGCTGTTCCCCATCCCGTGCTGGTTTCGTAGACAGCTGCATCAGAGCCTGCTCTTACAGAGATGCTCCTCTTCCTTTCATTACAGATACCTGTGCTTTTATAAGCACACAGTGGACCTGCTGATAGAGCATGGAGTAGTTTGCACCGAAGAGGTGCTTCTTCCTGTAGTCTCCACAGCCATTTCCCACCTCTGGCAGGAGCTTTCCGAAGAAAGCAGAGAGTGCATCTTGCAGTACTGTAGACAGAGAGCCTTCCTCCTGGATCCCAAGGTTCCCTGCCAAGAGCCTGCCTGTGCTGAAGGCAGCCAGAGGGACAGCCGAGGTAACAGTGAGGAAGCCAGTGGTTCCCTGGTCTCCACGCAGGAGGAAGTAAGTGCCCAACCAGCAGCTCGGCCGCCCCCGAGGCTCCCAGCCTCGAGGAGCCCATGGGACAAGCAGCTTCTCACTGGACACTCGTGGTAGCTGTAGCTGGCCTGCCCGTGGCCATGGGGACCCGCGGACGGAGGCTGTAGTCGTTTTGAATTCTCTTTCCATAAGAGACGTAGCGAGCTGTGAGCAGGCAGTGGTAGCAGTCCTGCTAAGCTCCACTGACCGGTAGCATTTCTGTGCTGAGTGACACTTGCATTCACACTGGTTTACTCCAGGGGGAGAGAACAAGGATTATACAGTTTGTGCCCTCTGCAAACTCTCCAAGAAGCCCAGCTGGGCTAAATCTAGGAGGAATGCCCAGTTTCCCAAGGCTTGCTTTTTATTTATTTATTTATTTATTTTTATGAAAGCACTTTGTGACAAAGCGTGTATTTGAAGACCAGCTCTAGTAGTGCAGGGGCAGAGCCAAGAGTCAGTGACTCGTGGTTAGGGCATTTGTTAAAAGGAGATTAAGCAAAAGGTAACTCACTGTAAATTGTTTTTCAGCACTGATTACCTAAGCTACTAGCTGGTCAAAGACATATGGGTAATTTTATTTGTTGTGGGAGACAGGGAAGGAAGGTGCCAACCCTGAATATATGTTAACTGCATTGGCAAGTTCTTACTGAGTCACAGGAGACTCAGGCTGTTCATATTGCTGACACTTGGGAAGTGTCATGGGGATGCTGCATGTATGGTACTTTATGGCACAGAAAATTGTAGGAACTACATTTGGATTAATGAGCCTGTGGGTCTGTAGCATGGAGAATCCAAACTCCATTGTCAGGCAAGTCACTGGAGTCAGTTTTGATAAAAGTGGTGGGTGCAACTGAGATCTTTGTCCATAAAGAGCAGTAACAGCCCACAGCCAAGGCTGGAAGGCACAGGTATAGTCCTTTTAGTCCTTTTTCTTTTTTCTTTTTTTTTTTTTTTTTACTGGTTGTTTTGGGAGAGTTTAATGTAAGCCTAATTCCCAGAGGCTGACACACAGGCCTAAGGGAATGGACTAATCTTGTGCTCTTAGTCATGAAATATTGTTATGCTTAATTATTCCTGTCGCCACAAAACACTGTGGGTTTACTCTAACAGTAAACATGTCTGCTAAATGGAAAGAATTTCATGTTTTTTAAAACTTAATTATTAACAATTTTAGCCTAGGTAAAACTCCAAAGTGTATGGATGTGTTGACATCTAAGTATTTTCTTTGGTAGGTAATGTTTGAAGATGCATTTGATGTTGCTTCTGGTTTCCTTGACAGAAATGAGACTCAGGGAATGTCTAGTCAGAGGTAAATTTATAAACCCACCCCTTTGCCTAGATAGTGTACACACCCTTTGGAGGAAGTCAGTAGACTAACTTCACTTTTTTTGTCCCTACTTTTTAGTAAATGGTTAAAATAGAAGCCTCCAGCCATTGTGCTCACAGTAGTGCTGTCTCCTAAGGTGTGAAAGTGAAATGACTAATGAATATTTGCAGCAGAACAAGGAAGAGTCTCTTATTAAGAGTGCCCAGTCAGTTCCAGATAGTAGTGGGTCCAGCTGTTTTTCTCCACCATTCCTCATGTTAATCTCTGTCCATTTGCAGGATTTGCAATGTTTGCCTGTTCCCTCTCTTTACTCGACAGGACTATGAAGGTCATAAGACATCTTCTGGATAAGTCAGATGGCTGTGAATTGTACTGTTATTCAATCAGAGAAAAATAATCTTTTTTTTTAAACATTGCCTTCCTTACCTTTTTCAAGCATTGTAAGTCAATCACAAGGACTTGATCAAGCTGAGGTGTGATTGACCAGCACAGTGACGTCGAAGAAACTTCTATTAAGTAATAACATGTCTTTCCTCTGCAGGTCAGATCACAGTTCCCTGTGAGAGAATACGTCAAATACAAAACTGGCATTGCATTTGATTTTGCCAGTAGACAGGAGAAAGACAAGAGTTGTTTTCCTCAAGAGGAAAATCGCATTGTTGACTCATACATTCTCACTTAGTCTTTGTAGTTGGTTACATTTTTTTTCTCTTTGCAACGTGTTTTTAATCTTGCTTTTTGAATCCAATTTTCCACATATTTTTGCATATTTAGAGGGTTCTTCAGTATGAGTTCTGTTCTCCCCTTCACCACCACTTCCAGAATACTATGAATAGAAGTAAGGTTGTTTGGCTGTTGATCAGAACACACTTGATTACACAATAAAGCTTAATACAAATCCATTAAATAGTGTTGATTGTTTAAATCACAACTAAATGAAATTCTTTGCTTTTGAAATAAGAAAAGAATGTTCCTGAATGCTGCAATTTCTTGCTGTCATCTTTGCAGTTTGGAGATTAGCAGCCCCAAAGTCCAGTGTAAATCCCAAAGTAGATTAGTGTTTCGGTAGGCAACATTTAAACTGTATCCTCCTCCTTCTGTCACCCTGTGCCTGGTAATTCCAAACAGAGGTGCATGGGCAGGACTTTGTAAGATCCCAGGGAGAATATAGAAGTAAGGCCCAGAGTGAATTGTGAGGGTGGGCTCTTTTTTTACTTTTTCTTTTTTTTTTTTTAACCAAATTTGCCCATTACCAATACAAAGCTGCTGATACTAGCTCATGTGTCAGACCATTGCCACATAGTTGTGTTCACTAAAAAAAAAAGAAAGTCAAAGCTGTGAACACCCCTATAAAATACCTTACTGAATAACCATTGTTGCTTTTGATTATAACAAATGTATACTTTTTCCTAAAACAGTGTGAGGGCCTGGTATCATGTATCTGTGGATTTCTTTGTTGTGATAATTGTTCCTTGTATTGCATTTCTCTGAGTATCTTCCTTGCTTTTGTAAAACAGTATCTCCTCTACCCCTCCTTGTCTTGTTCAGTCGTTGCCTTTAAGATCAGATTCATCTTGAAAACAACCTAAATCTTTTTTGATATACAAGTGAAACAATGGAGAGAGAAAGTAAGTAGGAGGAGAAAAGACAGAACAGGAAATTAAATATAATTTGTGGTTCCATTTTCAGCTCAGCATTTGGAAGCTGCACTTCTGAAAATCCAGAGGATCACCACAGACTCTATCTGCAGATCATTGACTTCCTCAAAAGCCTTTTCTTTGCTAATACGCAGTTTTGCCAGGTAAGCTTTGCCAAAGCATTCTTTATAGAAGGAGCAGTACATTTTTCTTGTGATTAGAAAGGGATTTCTTTTTCCTGCATTTTTTTCTTCTTATCCTCCAACATCATTAAAACAAGAACTTGAGGGCCACTTTAAATGTGCCATTCTACAGTTCAGCAGCCCTGACTGTAAGAGACGAGGTTTGAGGGGTTATTGCTCAAAATGGCAATGACACGAGGAAACTTTTTAATATTCTTTGCATCAAATCTCCATATGGAAAAGCTTGAGTGATCTCATCTGATCAGGCAAATCAGTGCCTGCTCATTTTGCCATTCCCTGTTACCCACAGGCTGCTGATGCGGAGCTCCCCCGGACCACCTTGTTCTTTGCCTTGGTGCCAGGCGCCCTAGTCTGGGACCTCTGTGCAAAGGCCTCGAGAACAAAGTTTTCCTGTTCTCAGAAGACCCAATAAAGATCTGCTGGGCTGCCTTTTACCCTAAGCCCACTGTTGCGGGTTCACTGTTCCAGGAGCCCTTTGGTTTGCAGTGTTCTTCCTCTCTTTCTTGTTCCAATGCTGAGAAGGGAGCTGAGAACTTGCAGAGTTACATCACCAAAAGGGAGAGACCCCTCAGCACAGGGATGCGTGTTGAGTCGGCTGCGCCTCCGCGGTGGCCACGGTGGTTCTGTCTGCTGTCACCGCACAGCTGGTGCCAGTTGCTGTTGACTGGGCAGGTGCTCAGTCACCTCAATTAGGTGAAGGAAATAACCATGAGGGGAACAAAATAGAAACTGTCACTGCAGTTCTGTGTCTAACACGTAGTGCTGCTATTTGCCATTTTGGTCCCACCAGCTCAGAGAGATGGTAGTGCTAGGAGAGATGCAGTGAGATGGCAGGAAACACAACGAATAATTTTAAACAGGAACAGCTAGGACTCTTCATCATGAAAAAAAGAATCAAAAAAAAAGTACCCCAGACCGTGAGGCGGGGGTCATATGGGAGGATTTAGTAAAATGGTGGTGTAGAGGTAGTACGCATAGCATATTTTAGATAGCTTCTAAAACCAGAGCTATGAAGCACCCAGTAGAATGAACAGACAGCATGTTTAAAAAAGAAATAATGGAAATTATCAGGTTTAACTTGAGGAACTCTTGCCTGATGGTGCAACAGATAGAAGGGTTCAAAAAGGCACTAGGACAATTTCTGGAGGACTAACCCACTGCTGGCTGATAAACTCGAAGGTCCAGGTACAATTTCCTATTCAGAATGTCCACCACAGATTGCAGCAAATGCCATCAGGCAGAGCACACAATTTGCACAGTCCTTGCGCTTTTTGTCCGAATATCACTCTTAGGTATTGTTGGAGCTACACAGCCCTGTGGTCTGTGAATAGCTATATTCAGCTTAAGAAGAGAGGTCTATATTTTTGTAAATGACCGTGAACTAAGGCTGGCTATAAAAGAAGGAACAGTTTTATGCAAGATGCAGTATTTTCTGGATTTAAATATCCTTTGTGCATGTCATGCCCAGCGTCATTAGGTACTCGCAGCTTGTCCTTGTGCTTGGTGTTGCAGTGCTGTGTGTGAGCCCAAGTCCATCTCGCAGCTCCCAGGCCAGATGGTGTGAGAAGTTGTGTCTCTTTACAGCTTTAAGGAGGGAGTGCTGTGAGGAGAGTGGGAATGGTGGGAAGAAGCGCACTGGGAGAAACACTGAGGTACTGCAGAGCGGCGGTTGACGGAGATTTTGTGGATCCAAAAAGAAACAAAAGGCTGTGTGTGCCTTCATTATGCAGGAACGTGGAGTTTTCTGTGATAACAGAGGACGATCAAAAGGGAGTTTGAGCAGGAATCATGCAGGCTATAGAGTACTGATAATGCGAAAGTCACAGTCTGTTTTGGTTTAGATAATTTCAGCACATCTGGAGAGTTCTGCCAAGAGGCCAAAAAAAATCCAACTGACAAGATTTTCTAGTTGTGAGGGCAGAAATTCAGCTCTATCTCATGGCAGACAGATTTAGGCAGGCATGGAAGTTGCTGCAGAATGGGACTAGGAGACACCACAGACACCCTGGCACTAATTCAGGCAGAGCTCAGTGTGGCCTATAAAGTTTGTCCCAGTAATTAGGTTACTCAGAGCACCAGCCTCCTGTTCTTGGCTGGGATCAGAGCCCTCGCCACTGCCTGGGCACTGACTTTGGCTTCGTTACGTTGCACTGATGTCCTGATAAACCCCTGCAGTTGGCACTGCTGGACTAGCATAAAACATCCCACGGAAAAAGTGTCCTGGTGCACCATGCGTGCACCTTAATAAAGATGAGTGGCAGATAAAACAGGAAGGCAAGGCATGCAGTGTGTGTTCGACTGAATTGGGAAGGGCAGGCAGCCTGGGGTCTCCTTTCCTTTAGCAGAGCTGAGGAGGTGAGAGGTTTTATTGCTGCACGGGATGTACCCGCTCACACCATTTCTAGTTAGATGTATAGCTAGGTGCTCTTGTTGGATCGTGTATATTTACCATTTCATAGTCACAGACCCACCAAGTGCAGCTCCTCTCAAAGCTGCTAGGGCTCTACCCCCCACTGCTGTAAAATGCTTGAGAAAGAACCACACAGGAGGAGGGAAGAAATCATTTACACAAAGAAGAGAAGGACCCTTCAATGGGCAGCGACCCGAAGGCAAGAACAGGAGCATGTTTTCTGTAGTAGAAAAAAAAATTTCTATGCATGAGATCAGTAAAGCAATTCCATCATTTGTCCAGATTTCTTGTCTTGAGGCCACATCGTAAGGGATGCTTAGCAGCAAAGTCAGTAAAACATTCATTTAGATTGAGGTCCAAATTTCGAAAGTATCTAAGTGAAGGTCTTTTTTTCTAAACTGTACTAAACTTTCTGCATCTTAAAATACACACTTTTTTCATTTTTTAAGGGATTTTAGATGAGTCATGTTGCAGGCAAGTGGGATTTAGTGCTCTGTAAACTGTATAATTTTTTTTAAAAGCACCAATTTTCAAAGGCAGTCCTACCCTAAAGAGTCTTGCATCAGTGCAGAAGGTGGACTAGATGGACTGCAGAGATGAACTCTTTCATGTCTTAGACTTTGATTTCTTCAGAGCCAGTTATTCTCTGTAAGCTGGTCAAAGAGAAGACCCTTCCCTTCTGTTGCCAAAAGAGCAGCAAAGACAAACTGAAGCACCAAAAGTTCCACAGGAACTTAAGGAAAAATTTCTTAACAGTGAGGGTGACAGAGCACTGGAACAGGCTGCCCAGAGAGGTTGTGGAGTCTCCTTCTCTGGAGATCTTCAAAACCCGCTTGGATGCAGTCCTGTGCCACATGCTCTAGGTGACCCTGCGTATGCAGGGGGGTTGGACTAGATGATCTCTAGAGGTCCCTTCCAACCTTAAGCATTCTGTGATTCTATGATTCTATGAAAGCCTGAAGCCAATGGAAGCTAAGGGCTCTGGGAAGCTTTCGTGTCTTCAGAGCCTGTTACATGACCCTATTGCTACTGCATTCAGTAATGCCCATGAAAATGATGTAAATTGAAACATGATGGATAGAAAGAAATCGTTTGCAGAAATTGAGACGTTCTTCATCAAGCAGCTCAGGCACTTGACTGCCCTGTGGTGGTTGCTGATTCAGGGAGGAGGGGAGGCTTGTGCCTTGTTAGCTGACACGTGCCAGTGCTGGCCAAACCAGCAACTCTCCGTTTGAAACAAAACCAACTCTTGTAGTTTTTAACTTTCCCTGCATTTGGGGTGGTTTCAGGAAGAAGCTCTTCCGTTCGACTATGAGACCGTGATGCTGAGGTGCACCGAGACCTTTGATGATGAAGATTTGTAGATGGTATCTGTTTGCTGATGTTTTGCTGAGCATTGCTGGGTGCACGAGATATGCGAAGGGACTGCGCCTCGTTCAGCGGAGTGTCCCTGCGAGGGGAGTGTGGAGACCCTGTTGAAGTGATTTTGTTGCTGTTGGCTTCCCGTTCCCTCATCAGTGCTTCTTCATGTATCAGTTGAGTAATTTATAACTTTAAATGTTCCAAGTTTAAATTATTTATAAAATCATAACAAAGACTTTTTGTCTATTGCTTTTTAATTCTTAACATTGTTTTACAATTAAACTGAGGCGCGTGCAGAGAGGTGACCTTGCCAAACATAAGTGGTGACAGAGCTGAAAATTGACCGCATAAGTGACATCCTGCACGCTCTCCTAACGTGCGACCTCAAATCGTGACCTGCAAAAATAATGAAGTTTGAGCACCCGTTAGTAATTCCTTTCATGTAAAACTCTTCAGCTCAGGCTGGCAGTGAAGGAGGGATTTCTTCCTTTCCTCGCAGGCACAGAGAGGGACGCAAGTTTCTTCCATCTTCTGAAGCATGGCCACCTACTCCAGTTGCCAACAGAAGTGGAGGCATAATAATAAACTTTGGAGTATTTACTTCTGCCAAGTGTGTAAACCTGAGCAAGGGCAGGGTAACACCCTATATTTTGATAAGTGGAGCTGCTCAGATGGTGCCTAGGAATTAAAAAGCCTATAAAGATAAATAAGCTCGTTCACATCTGAGCCTGAGCTTTATTTACTCTGCAAATGCAGACATGGTCGTGCTGACAACCATCACAGACATGGGGACTGGCATCAAGGTGCAAGGGCCAGATATATCCTATGAAGGACTGTCTGCCCATGAAGCTGAGGCTGTGGTAGGCCTCCAACGTGGAGGTGGGACCTAATCTGCACATCCTGTTCAGATTTAAAAGCCCCCATGACTTTTGCAACCTCGTTTTTACCCTGGCCTCCTGGTGTGATCCATATGAACAGGCTGCCACCGCTTTGAGGCTTGAGGATGTTAGGAGCTCCTTCCTCCTCTTCCTCTTGCTCCCAATATGCTGAGCACATTCATCCCCTGGACAGCCTGGGTCTCGCGGGTCAGAATTCCAACATTCAGGTTGAACACGCGCTGTAGACTTTCCCAGTCGGTCCAAGGTCAGACCATCCTGCAGCTCTGTAGATGTACGCAGACAAACCGCGCAGCCGGCTGCGGCCTTGCCCACCCGCACAAGGTCTGCTCTGCCGCAGCAGGGACGTGCCCTTGCTCCCCAGCATCCATCAGTCCTGCTGTGCAGCCCACGTCTCCCTCTTGGAAAGCCAGGAAAAAGGACCGTCCGTGAGCGCTTCTGCCTCCATCCCATGCCGCAGCCCCGCGCCGCGCTGCCCGCGGGACGAAGCAGTAGCTGTCGGCAGTGGGCACTGCAGGGAGCTCGCTTGTCCCGGTCAATCCTCAGCTTTACACTGGAAAATCCTCTGCCTTCCTTTCATTTTGTGAAGCAGGAGGCAAGCAGAAGCCAGGGCTCCGCGCTGCAAAGCCAAAGCTGCCTCCAAACCTCAAGTGGCCGAAGACAGCCAAGGAGGAGCAAGGGCCCTGCAGCCTAACCCCCACCTGCTTCGCTTTACAACACTGGAAGTGGAGATGAAAACATTGGGAAAGGAATTTCCTTAGATATATGACAAGCACACCAAAGAGAAAGTTCTGAAGGATGTTTGAAGAGCCAGGGCTTTAAATCAGGCCTTCGGCAGCTTCTGAAAATGCTCTCTAAGCCTTAACTTATCACACCAGCATGGTCTTCCCTGTCTGCCCGTCCCTTGTGGGCCGCAGGATGGGCTGTGGTGATGGATCAGCTTCCAGCAGGGATTCCTCCCTCCTGTTCAGTAAAGCCACGACGAGCTCCGCTCCAGGGAGCTCACGCAGAAGCAGGGACGCGGGAACGTGGCAGCAGGCTGTAAGTACAAGATCACAGCAGAAGAGATGAGCAATGGTCCCCTCCATATGGTGGGGAACAGAAAAAAAATAACTGAGAATGGATTTTTGTAGGAAGCCTCTGTCAAATTTTCTTTGTAACAGATCTAAGCCAAATATAAACCTGGCACTTGCCAGCATCCTACCACGTCTTCCGAGGAAAAACAAGAAACGGGTGCAGCCTCCGCAGGCTGACACAGAGCCAGCAAAAACACTGAGGTTCCCCATCCCTGCTTCCCACCTTGCTTTCACCATATGGGGATACCAGCCACAGTGCTGAAGGGAACGCCCAGCTTGGAAGACGGAGCATCTGAAGGCTACAGAATACAGCAGTTTTTACCCCCTTCCTGGTTGTGTACTTCATTCACCAACTGCTTTAATCCCCTTCTCCTCTAAACCAACTCAGCATCAAAGAGGTTGTGGCTCTGTCTTTGGAGACTGTCATAGCTCAACTGGACAAGTCTCTGAGCAACCTAGCTGGAGCTGCTCTGAGCAAGGGCTTGACCTAGATAACCACCAGAGGTCCCTTCCAACCTGAATTATTCCATGATTCTAGTAGTATATGGCACTAGCTGTGACAGTCATCCTGGGAAAAATCTTTGCACTGTAAATTTTATTTGATTTCCTCCAGAAATATCTCAATATTTGTCTCAAGAAAGGAAACACAAGCTTATGATACACCACCAGTGTTATTACACGTCACCAGCAACCCGTACAATCACACATGTATTTGGCCATATTGATTCAGACTGTTTCCACTGATTGTGGAAAGGAGGAATCTGCAAACCAACTTCCAGAGAAACGGTCCTCACTGCACAACCACGCCACCAGACCAAGCAGGTACAGTGGGGACACGTGGGACTGAGCAGTAGTATGGATACATAATCTGTGAACAGAAGAGTTTTCTCCTTCCTCTTGAAAACTCCTTTGTTGTTCTGGGATGTGGTTTCCTGGGAATGCCGTTTCCCCCGAGCCTGCTCCCAGCAACCTCAGGCAGGGTTCATTTCAGCGAAGTTCATTATTTCTGCAAGGTCAACAGCCTAAGCAAGGTCTCTGGATTCCCTCTGGAGTCTACGATGGGAGAGACACCTGCACAATTGTCATTCACCCCATTAATCTCAGACACCTCTCTTAGAGCAGCATTCATTCGTCCTTCAAAATGCCGTGGAAACCACATGAATCATAACATAGAGGTGCCCACTTCTTTCCCTTCATCGGAATAGGCGCAAGCCACAAGCTGAGGTCAACGTTGCGGATGCAGATCTGCAGAGTGGGGTGGATGAGCCTCGGCCCAGGGGACACCTGAGGGCAGCACAGGGCCTACATGGGGGTGCCCCCTTCTCTTGCTTCATGAGCACCTGGGCAATGGGGAAGGGGATCTCTGCTTCAGCTGGTCCTTAGGGATCCCAAGGCTCAACATAAGGAGGGCAACCCAATATCCTATGACATCTTGGGGTTTGGTGGTCTCCGAAGCAGGATCTTCCTGGAGGTGGGCAGGCAGAAGCAGAGAGAAGAAAAGTGATTCCCTCACGGTCACTAGCAGCAGTAGGAAGAGAAAGACACATAATGGACTGTTCTGCTCCAGCCTCTGAGAGCTGCCACTTGAGGCTCAAATGATGGGGGCTGCAGACATGATTTTCAGACCTCCACTTCAGAGATGATTTCACCTGCAGGCCAGAGCTTATATCCTTGTATCAGCACCTATCTCTGAAGTTCCTTCTGAACTTGCTTTAACACTGCTTTCCTGTTCAGCAGCCCTCGGTTCATCCATTTTCTTGCCTCTAGGTGGTCTTTTGGGGCAAGCGGGTAGATACCGAAACCAAGAGACGGTGCAGTATTTGGTGCCTATGCCAAAGGGAAGATCATAGACATCGGAAACAAGCTGAGCGTTGTCCCCCTCTTCCTTATGGCTTTGCTTCCATGCCAGGAGCCCTCGCTCCTCCTGTGTTCCTGCGAAAAAGTAGTTCATTGTGAATGGAAAACAAAACCAAAAACAACAACAACAACAAACTCTATCCTTAAAATGAAAGTGGCTGTGTTGTGCCTGAGCTGAGGCAAAAATCTGAGTATACCCCACTCTCAAGTAAGGATCCTTCCCTTCAGTTGCCTGTGTCTCTTCTTTCAACTAACAACATGACTACAGACTGATATTTTCTCTAAAATATAACATTGCAAATAAATATTTCTTCAGACCAGGTTGTTCCTGAAAAAAATAAGTTAGTTTTTGATGAACTGCTGGTTTTTTGTTTTGTTTTGTTTTTCAGTCAGAGACCATTTCAGTGATGGGTTCCCCATGTCTCCTGTTTCATCCCTCTCTGGGAAGAGTTCAGGGACATGGTGCTTCATAGTTGTTAGCATGACTCCTGTCCACAGAACTGATTCAATAGTAATGAAGACAAAACAAACCTAGCACAGGCAAAGCTTAATATCTTAGCTCTTTACAAGGAATCCTACCTGGAATGGTGTTATCAAGGAGAAACCCCATGAATCCACCCACAAACATGCCAGTGGTGAGAAGCACCTGTATCACTTGGTCCAGCTGGATGATTCCTAGCAGAAAAACAGCTTAGGGTAGTGATGCAGACAGACAGGTAGTTGTCCAGCAATATAGGCAGTGCCAGCCTGTTCAGACAAGACTGGCAAATCCCAAAACTGACCCTAGCATTTGGCAATGCAAGGGAGATTGATCTTCCTGCTAATTTCAGACCTGCAGTTTTATTCTGCATAATTATTCCATGACCTCGCTGCTAGTGGGCAGGGATGACTCACAAACACATCAAGAGCCTGTCTACCATGCAAGTCACCACAGCACTCTCTCAGGAAAAAAATAAAGCCTTCTGCTCCAAACAAGTTCTGCACTTCCATGACATGATGCCAGGTCATCCTCCACAAATACACTAGCGTCAGCCCCCAAAGAAATACAGGTTTATTTAGTCTGTGGTTTCACCCTAAGTTAATCAGGTGGGCTGCTTCTCTGTGAGAGCTGATATGTGTAAGCCAAATAGTCCATGTAGTGACATGAAATGGAAATACATATTTTTGTTGCATGTGAGCACATAAGAAAGCCTCCTCCATGGAGACCTTGAACAGGATTCAGCCATGGGCTGCTCTCCTGCCCCAGGCCTCAACCTGGAGTGTGTCCCAAGGAAGGGCCCTCAGCGATCCTCAGCCAGAAGGGAGCCTGGCAATGCCAGGGATGATGCAGTAGCAGATTTACACCCCAGATTTCTCCACACAGGAAAGCAGAGGGCACGAAGAGCAAACCCCAAAGCAACAGGCAACAATCAAAGCACAGGCTCCAGGTCTTTTATCTGGAAAACTGCGTTTTGAAAGATTTCTCAGGATCAGCCTTTGCTTTAGTTTATGCAACAGAAAATGGTTCTAAAATACAACGCGGTTTCACTTCTTACCTGTTTGCAGCAGACCACTGTTTTTGCTTGCCCAGTTGGGAATTGTGAGGCCAGCAAACACAGAAAACCCAAAGATAAAGATGTTTCTGGAGGAGTTCATGTCTGTATACTGTACAGAGAAATCGCAGACATTACTACTTGCTGTTTATGCAACCATAATTTGTGTTAATGAGATAATCTTGGGTGCAAGCACAAGCATAGAGCCAGTGACAGGTGCCACAGTAGAAAGCTGTGTTTAAAGTTGAATCAAAATTAACAAAAGCTTTCAGAAATGTGTATGTGTATATGCATATAGTAGCGATTAGACACTGCAGATGCAGTTAGATGGCAAAGCATGGTCTCCATTTTGTTGACGGGGTCCCTGAGGTAATCCTACAAAATGGGATTCACCCAGGAAACCACTGAGTGAGCTGGAAATGAAACTTGTTTACCTGAGCCCCATTTTTGGCTTGTGTCCCTCAGCTGATGGTGCCCTCCCCTAAACACACTCAGAGAACAACACAGCCTTGGTTGCACCCATACCATAGGATATAGCAACAAATCAGCCATACAGGCAGTGATGGAAATGTCCTCCTTACTGGTAACAGCTTGCTTCAGATAGATAGACCATGAAAAGCACCTGAGAATAACCCCGTAGGGAAATCACTGCCTGCATTAAGGAAGCCATGGGAGCAGCCCAGACCTGCTTGGGTTCTATTAACACTGCTACCTTAAGCAGCAGTAAAATCTGTCCTGACCAGGAACTTCTCTGAGGTTCTTTGGTCTCTGAGATCTTGGCTCTGAGATCTTTGGGTCTAACTTTGTCCTCAGCTTCTCCAAGGAGCTGCCAACACACACGTTCGCATTTGCTGCAGCTCACTTATATTTGACTGTGCCTGATAAGAACATGATTTCAAACTAAAGTCACCTTCCTCGAAGATGAAATGGCATTCACCAGGCTGTTACCTGCAAATTGGAAATTCCCACTGCCGTGATAACTCCAAACATCACCAGGAACATTCCTCCGATCACAGGGGTGGGTATGCTGGCAAACATAGCACCCACTTTCCCAAAGACGCCACTCAGGAGCATGGCGCAGCCACCAGCAACTATCACCATTCGGCTCCCTACCTGGGGCAAGGAGAAGAAGACAGAGTCACGTGCATGGTGTAGAGAGGTGGAGGATGGATGGCTCCATGGTGCAGGAGCACACTTAGCAGGAAGTCACTGCACCTCAGATATAAAGCATTTAATTGCACGTTCAGCTCCAAGGTTCAGATAGCCCTGGGTGGATGGCCTCGTTGCTTAGGAAGTCTGTGTCACAGACTGGTGAAGAGTTATTACAAAAGCCACAATAATTGCAGACCCACACCTATTTATTTTATGCTATCCTTTCCTAATGTTGGCAAGGACTTTAACAGTTTGTTGCTAAACAAAAGTTTATCATTAAACTAAAAGTGCAATAACGATCACACACGGATTTGCTCTTGCTCCAGCCTGGAAATGACTTGGTATCCTCACAAGCTGGGGCTGCAACTGTCCACATAATTTACTGGACAACATTTCTACTAGAAAATGGGATTCTAAAAATGGGTTTCGGCCAGATGTCTGACATGGAGGCCTCTGTTTCCTCAGAAACAGGAATAGGGAGAACAGAGATAGCTAGACAAGCTGTTTAGATCCCTAGCTCCTAGATCTAGCATGTTCTTCCATATTTAATAAAACGCTAGCAAGAGCAGGGGAAATCTGTTGGTCTTCCCCTCTCTGTCATTCTCCGCCTAGCTTCAGTGAAACCAGTTTTGCCTCTTATTTTGCCCTAGGGAGAGCCTTAGAGCCTTCCTTTGCTTTGGGTGAGGCACCAAATTGTGGCTCTTGTGCAGATCTGCTAGCGTATGTGAAGAGGAAGCAAAACGTATCTGCAAAACAAAGGGATTAAGAAGACATTTAGAGGTTATGGAAAAAAAGAAAGAAAAAAAAACAGCAATATTTATTAGACTTTCAATTCAAGATCTGTCTTGTCACACCAAACCTTGGAAGGCTTAAAGAATTATGCTAAGATTTACAACACTTGTGTGTTAGGCACAGGAATTCTGTAATCCTCTGCAAACATTTTGTAATTCAATTATTTTAATCTTTCTTTGCAAATATCTGAAGATTGTCATATTTCTATCAAGGCCTTTTGCCAATGCTTTCAACAAAAACACTTGCAGTAACTAGTAGTTACTGGAATATTTTTTGGTCAGTAATTGAATATTTCTTGATTGTAAAAGATAAATGAATAAGATTTTGTGGGGAGTTTCAAAATAAGATCAGATACACATTTTCCTTTTCCGTCGGGTGTGCTTTTTATATTTCTTGAATTTACAGCTTGGGACATTCTTGCTATCAAAAGTATAATTTAATGAAAGGCAAAGATTCTATCTATTCCAGGATTAGAATGAGGTTTAAGATTCTTAATTTGGCAAAATGACAAACTAACCAGCACATGGAACTGGCCTTAAGGCAAATTAATTAATCCATTGATACCACAATTGAGAGCATATGATTTTGCAGCTTGTAGTTTAGAGTTTGTTTCAATTATGGCAGGAAAATAAGAATTTCTGTTCTCTTATGGTAGAAGAAGTGCAGTTTGCTACTATGAATATGGAGATTCTGAGATCTTTGCCTATTCTTAAATTTTTCATCTTATTTTCTTGAAAACAAGTGGTTGATATTGGCATACTGGACTTCATCCACTAACTTAAATGTAGATGCCTGGTGCTTCTTAAAAGGCAGCTTCTGGCAGCTTCTCCTCTGCTTTGTCTGCCAGTCCCTGTAGATATCTGAGATACCCCAAAACATTTCAGATGGTGCTGATCACCGTTTCAAGCAGGGAAACAAGTCCCTTGTGTTTCCATTTGTCATGAAAAGACACATTTCCAAGGCAAAACCCAAGTGAAATGAAATCTGCCTTGTGCTGTCAGCATCCCATCTATCCCAGCCAAAGCCCTTCCTCTGGTTTAAGACTGATTAAAACAAGGCTCTGCATTTTCTGGATCTTTAAGTATGAATGAGTAACTTTTCCAGAAGTGGGAATCTCAGGAAAACATCTCCCTAAAGACAGATAGGATGGCATGCTTACCTGAAGAACCTGGAGGACACAGGAAGAACAGACTGATCTGACAGTTATCCACTGTGCTTACATCCTATACATACAACGCAGGCCACAAACCACAATCCACAAAACAAGGAGCCCAGGCATTTGGTCAATATGCACAGACCACATGGCAACAAGGTGTGTGGGGCAAGAGGCTAAACGGGCCTCCGTGCAGACATCCAGACAACCTTCTCTGCTGGAAACAGCACCTCACTCAAACACTGATGGCTCAGTCTGTGAAAAACGGTTACTGTTTATTTCATGGTATTTTATAAACCTCGTTGACAATTTCATAGAATAGGAGCCATAAGTCAATTACTGCCTTTACTTACCATCTCACAGTTCTGCTCATATGACAACAGCTTATTTGACAATGATTTAAAAATGTTTTCTGAGTGGCTGCTGGATATACCCACCCCCTGGCTGTAAAGTTGAGTGAAAACCTATCATCTGATTGCCAGGCTTATCTCTTTGATTCTCTTATAAGAGCAATAAGACATTTAAGGGCTTCCCAAAACTTTATAGAGAAGTAAAAACATAAACTTTTACCATCACATTTTATAATTCCAAAGAAAGAGTCTACTTTGCCCATGATTGCCAGTTTTGGGTTATAAAAATGTGGAATTCACAGCCCTAATAACCATTTCTTATATTTTTCCTTCCCTTCCCCTCCTTTTTTTGCTTTGCTTATAAACATATGCTTAGACATACAGATCATAGAATCATAGAATGCTCAAGGTTGGAAGGGACCTCTAGAGGACATCTAGTCCAACCCCCCTGCACACACACGTGGCACAGGACTGCGTCCAAGCGGGTTTTGCTCCAGAGAAGGAGAATCCACAACCTCTCTGGGCAGCCTGTTCCAGTGCTCTGTCACCCTCACTGTTAAGAAATTTTTCCTTAAGTTCACACGGAACTTTTGATGCTTCAGTTTGTGGCCATTACCACTAGTTCTGTCTGTGACCACCAGTGAAAAGAGGCCAGCACCATCCTCCTCACTGCCTCCCTTGAGGTATTTATAGACACTGATCAGATCCCCTCTCAGCCTCCTCTTCTCCAGGCTGAACAGATACAGATAGATGTGGATAGACAAATAACTTTGATAAATGTAGTTCAGGAAGTTTCCAGAATAGCTCACAGCATAACATGCTCTCTTTAGTCCTACATACCAGGTGCCACAAGTAACAGCAGGGTGTACTTCTCCCATATTC